ATCACAGTATGCGTAACATGAACATGCCGAAATGGGTAAAAATGGGCAAGGGCCAGGTGATGAGAACTTGCCGTCATGAGTAAAGACCAGAAAAGACTCGCAACAAGTGCATAAACCTTTTGGAGTGTGATTAGAATCATTTGGCATTTAGAAAAAGGCTTTTGCATTATTCCCATCGATAAACGAGTGTAGAATGTAATGTTCAAAAGCCATGACTGGAAGAGCACCAGCTCCAGGAAGGATGCCATTTCCATGATATTCCTGACCGCCGTGACCAGCAGCACTGGTTGTATCACAGTAAATTTAAAATTGCCAAAAAGATATATAACATAAATAACAAAATGGTAGAAAAACCCACAATTCACAAACTAGATTTATTGAAGAAATTGAGACAACAGTTTTGGAAACGTCCTCCATTTCATCTTCTACATTTTTTTTTTTTTTTTTTTTTTTTTGGTGCACTGAGATATTTACTACATATAGAGATTATAGACTCTGTCAAGGGAAAACAGTCTTTTACCATCTGGATAAAGCAAATCCAGAAAACTATGAACATTGGAAAATGGCAAAAAAAATAAAACCTAATAAGGTTTATGCAAAATAACTTTGCAAAGGGAAGGCATAGATTATTGTCAACACAGACAAGTGTTCGAATGCACCCAGCCTACATTCTGCACACTTTTCAAAGCGACCATTTACTTAACCTAATGCCTTTACTTTTGTCTGTGTGACTGCCAAGATGTAACCAGATTCAGGGGGTTAATTATCAATATATTAAATAAGTGGACAATGACAGGAGTCTGCCATTCCTAAACTTAATGGTCTGGAAAATCTGTACGGTATGGCCACACTAAGTTCGGGCAAATTGAAGATGATATTTTTGTAGAGGACAAAAAGTAAGAGAGGTTGGTACAAGAAAAAATCTGCAGACATGAATGGTAATGCCACAAATAAAGCCTAAGTCCACTCGGCACTCCAGCGGCTAAAACCACTCGCTCGGGACGAAAGAACAAGTTGCCGCGCAGCTCGCGTGTGCATGACTGCACACCTACATCACCCCTACCTCACGACCAATCAGGAGGCGGCAGTTTAGCAGAGATTTTTAATTGCTCATTCAAATTCAAGTATAATATTCCATATAGTATAAAAAAAAAAAAAAATGCACACGACTATCGACTAATGTTTCATATATATTCACGTCTCAGCCCTTTTTTACCTTAAAATGTGTATTTTGATCCTCAATTTTCACTAACTCATTAATATCCTTAATTGTCAAACTACTTTAAACAATACAGTCGATACTGTTGAGGGGGTGTTGGGCAGTGCCCAGTCACCGCAACTTGGACAGTTGAGTAGATTTTGTGTTGGTTACCGTGTGCACTTGCGCTTTCGTATTCAAATGTGGCACCATAATCGGACACTCTCATTTCGGAAAAGTCGTATTTCATTACATTCATAATTAACTTTAGCCATTTACCGACACTGAAATCAAGCTGGGCCCATTCTTTACCCCCACCCCCAAACCTCCGGTTCCCCACGTGTCCCCCATGACTGTTGGATGGGTGCGTCTGTACCATAAAGAATTACCTAATAGTCTTCATAATATGTTGGAAAAAAAAAAAAAAAAATTCAAACTGGCAAAATTTAAGTAAATATTTACATGAGGACCAGTGCCAGAGACCAAATTCCCAACTCAAACTAACAAACATATGAACCAATCGCAAATACCCAAAACCTTCCTAACAAAGGTGTTTTGCCACTAGCAATTGCAGTAAAGCCTAAATCAGTGTATACTTTAACCCTGTGAACATCACGAGCAGCATGTTATATAAATGCTTGTTGTAGGCACTAAGAGTGCACAGTTTGTCTTTTCATCTTTCATGCTTTGAATTATAGAATGAGTGTGTATCACTTTAATTTCAAAAGTAGCATGCATAGACCGATTTGGTAACAGCTAGCAACCGCCCCTAGTAATGAGCACTTGGTGAAAACAAACCTCGTTCGTTCCAAAACCCACTGCGCTTTGCTTACAGTCACTGAATTTTTCTGAGAATTTGGATTCTTTGCATGAAAATGCCAAGGAGCAATCTTATTTTTTAAATTATTTATCATGATTTCTTGTAATACATTGATCCACCTCACCCAGACTTTATTCGAAGTGTCGTCAAGCACTGTACATTAGATGCCTGTTGCCTTTGTCTGAAATGTCATATGGCTCAGTAGATGAAACAAATGAAGAGGGCCTATCTCTTGAGGTCAAATCATTGAGAGAGAAAAATGAGTTGCGCCTTTGTGTGACTTCATTGTCTCCTTTGAATAAACACCTAATAAATGGGAAGAAAAGTGATGTTTGGAAGTGGCACGGATTCCACAGAAAAATTCTCTATATAGCTAAATGTCATAAATTACTGTAGCAAATTATGTTACAAAATTATTATTATTATTATGTGGCGTGTTGGTGAAATAGTCGCAAATGTAGGGATATTTGATATATACTATTTCGAAGGATCGTCGATCCAGATCTTGGCAGGCAGGCGGTATGGGCACTCTGTTGGCTGCATAGCTTCTAGTTTAGTTTCATATTGCTTTTTTCACTTCGGTTTTCAAAGAATCAAAGAATTCATCCGCCATTTTTGTTCACACTGATAAGGATATCATTGCAACAGGTTTGTTTTCATCAAGTGAAATGGTGACTCCGACTCGTGATGTCACACCAAATCAGTCTATTGCCCTCCTTCACTTTAACCCAAATTTAATAAATTTCATAAGAAAATTAACAAAAAATAACATTTTGCAAATCAAAACCTTTAGAAATCAGCCACACTAACAGCTGCTATACAGTCATCATGAGGTCTAATTCAACAGTTCTCCTCAGGCCAAAATGGCATAGGTAGGCCATGTAAACAATGGATATGTCAAAAAGGCAAGAAATGTCAGGCGGAGTCACAGGACACAGTCGACACCAAATCCTACACTGCTTTATTCCTCTCCTCATTCCCTGACTCCCGAAACGGCTCGAAACCACCTGAAAACCACCCACCGGAGCCATTGGGGCCGATGACCGCCGTAAAAGGCTTTAGCGGACCGATGTGATAGAAGCCTCGGTAGGACTTGAAGTTCTCCACCTCAATGTACTTCAAAATGGCCTTCATTGTCCCTTTTTCTTCCTCGCGTTGCTAACAGGCCCAGCAGGAAGAGGGGAAGGACACCATATTCCTCCCCACGAGACGAGGGGAAAGGCTGAAAAACGGAGACCACAACACAAGCCTCAAAACAAACTCGAAGTGTTTGTTTACGGTAAAATGGCGCGTAAACAGTGTTGCCAATGCCGGCGGAAAGGCGATGGTTTGGATTGTTGGTGTTAATTTGGTTGATTTATTGGATAATAGGTGTTGTCACTAGGATTATTAATGTCATTGGTGACTGGGCACTTTTTATATCATTGATGCCAAGTTGAGTGATTAATATTAATTAGTGGCAATGGAAATACGCTAGATTGGAGTACTGAAAGTGCTAAAGATATGCAAAGTTTTTTTTTCTTGATGATATTGATAAATTATTTATATTGTATGTACACAATACTGGATTTCCATACATTCTTTTCCGGTCACCTGTTCCTTTTGGGTTTAGTATTAACTGTCAAGCTTGTTTTTCGTAATGTCACTTTGACATTCTCAGGGTACGATTCAGTGGATTATCATCAAATATAAGATTTTATAATCTTTAATATTAACATACTATAAGAAATTTTACTGAAAACAAAAATTATTACCATGAGCGAAAATTTACTGCTGATACTTGTTGAACGTAAGCCTGCGCCGCGCTGATTTTAAAAAATGATTTCTGATTCACTTGTTTCATTGTGTCCGTAAAAAGAGAGAAAGTGCATGAAATCATCCTCGCACGATCTTCATATTATATGAAAATATTGTGTCAACGTTATGTAATAGAAAAAAATGAGATGGTCAAGAAGTGAAAGCGCTAGATTTAGCGTGTTGCTCGCTAAATTGGTAATGCTGTCAGTAAACCGAAAATAAATTAGACGGTGGTTCTTTTTCAAGTAAATTGAGAAGAAATAATTATCATTAGAACAACGGAAGTATTTTATCGGGTGTCCGTGATAACTTTTGAATTTTTGAAATTATTTGTTAGTTAGATGTACTGAGGTGATGTATTAGCTTTGCAGTGATATTGAAGATGAGATATATATTTCAACTTATATTAAATGATTTCATTAGCATCTCATCGGTAATGGATGATGATGTGTGATATAAATGCCTCTGTATGACGTTCTGGATGTGATAAAACCTCATGGCATTTCAATGTTGTTAAATGCGTAAATCTAGAAATATTTGAGATTTTAGCAGCCGCTTCTTTGTCGTCTGCTACTGGTATGAAGCAGTAACTTTGTACGATAATTTCCGCTTTTGCTATGCACTTAGACAAAGTATTTTCAAATAAGCGTTAAATGTTGAAGCAACATCGTAACTATTGAGATTTATTAATATTCGAAGCATTTTTATTAGAAGAGATTCGTGTTTTCGTGACCATTGTCTTAGAATATAACCAATAGGCTAAGATGCACAAATGAACAATTAATGTCTTTACACCAGTATATTTATCCCCAGTAAATCTAAATTAGACCCGACAGGTCAGCATGAAAACTCTAACCAGCCTAATCGCGAAAATTTACTTCGAAATTATCCAAATTACCATAATGACAAAAAAAAATCATTTACAATCAGTCCGCCAGAATATCTCTTCAGTGTACGACAATTTATTGACTTGGAAGGCGATGTAGCGGGACAGAGAAAGGACTTCCTCGCCTTCCCTACACCAGTCATACCATGGACGTCTGCTAGCAAACGTCAAAGAGAGAGACAAGAAAAGAAACCCTCTGCTTCTAGTGGCGGTTTTGCAATGGCTCACTCCACGATGAATGGACATCACAATTTGAACAAGATGGTGTACAAATTGGTCTTAACGGGAGGTGAGTACGCGAGCATTTTTCCACGTTTTACATGTATTGAGGGGAAAAAAGAGGGTTATAGTGTTGTTATCGAGCTCATGTATGGTGTGTTTCCTCCTTAGTCTATATGAATGAATGACCAATAGACACCCTCTATACCTAAATTGGTCTCATAATATGGTTAGTACACTTAGATCATATTTATTCTTTACCGAGGGGAAAAGAGGGTAAGGGAAGATTTCTAGAGGTGTCAGTTTGCTACATTTAAAGCTGCAACATTTTCCTGTGTAAATGGGAGGGACTGGAAACCTGAGACAGAAAGCGTGGCGTCTCACAAAATGCGTGCTCTAAACGGTCCATATTGGTACAAAAGGTGTAATGTGCACGTGTATGATTTGTGGTATTGCATCTCATCCATTTTTTATATATTCATTTTTATTATTATTACTCTATATATATTTTGAGAAGCGATCGTATATTGCATGACAAGGGGAGTTTACCGTAGGAACTATGTCGTAAGAAAACGAACAGGATAACGTAAGGAAAACGGAGGTTGTCGATATAAATTGCATAATCAAGGTTGGAAAAAAAAAGTTCTACAGGTGTGCGGACTTGAAACATAGATTTTCCGTCGGTGGGAAAAAAATTGTCATTGCATCATGGTGGAGGGTCGGTAACCTGAAAAGTCAACGTGGTGTAAAGACAGGTCAAGCGTAAAAACAGGTTAGCGTGATGTAAAGACAGGTCAGCGTAACGCAAAGACAGGCAAACGCAAAGACAGGTCAGCACGACGCAAAGACAGGTCAGCACGACGCAAAGACAGGTCAGCACGACGCAGAGATAGGTCAACGTAACGCAAAAGACAGGTCAGCATAACTCATAAGACAGGTCAAACGCAAAGACAGGTCAAACGTAACGCAAAAGACAGTCAGTCAAAGACAGGTCAGCATAACGCAAAGACAGGTCAGCATAACGCAAAGACAGGTCAGCGTAACGCAAAGACAGGCCAACATGACGCAAAGACATGCCAACATGACGTAAATACAGGCCAACATGACGCAAAGACAGGTCAGCCCGGGAGGTCGTCATGGCGCAAAGACAGGTCAGCATGACGCAAAGACACGATCATGCGGTGCATCGTGAGCTTCAGGAACTGCGACATTGCGGGAATACGGTGTTGCTGAGGGTCGTCATTGCGCGAGTAGACAGCTCCGGCGTTGTAAACATGACTGTGATAATGACAGAGCGAAGGCAGGGTGTCAAGGGTTGTTTTGAAGGCTCTGTCAACTCTGTCAATTGGTAGATGGCAGGTGAATGAATAGGTAGATAGGCCGGTAAAATGTTCATCCATTCACACATATATATATATTGTATGTTTATATCTATATTGGCTTACATTTATATTCACACACACGTGCACACGCAGGCACGCACACTCATACGCGCAGGCATACACACGCACGCACACGCACACACGCATACGCTCAGGCGCACGCAAGCACACGCACACACACAATTATAAATAAACATACCGTTTATATTTTATGCACATATGTATACGAATATGAGTAAAAATGGTACATGTATACATAAATCAAAATACTCATATTTAAAGAAAGTTAGCCGATGCAACCAAATGCAAACGCATCTAAATCCATATCTCTAAATCTCAAAAATAACGAAGCAGCGCGCACGCCGCTCCTGCAAATCTCTCAGAGGGAATTCGCGCAGAAGCCTCGGAGTGAAGCCCAGAGCAGCTTCGGCGCGCCCGGGAAGCTTAGAAATGGGTTACGATATTCTAGTATATCCGGTGTTTGATCGCGCGCCACGTTCCCGAGACTCCTCCCCCCTCCCCCCCTTATCCTCCCTTCCCCTCCTCTTCTCTTCCTTCTCTTCTCTTCTTTTCTTTTCTCTCTCCTCTCCTATTCCTCTCCCCTCCTCTCTTTTATATTCCCCTATATCCATGGTACCCCTACCCCTCTACCCACGTACCCAGTGACCCCTTTTATATCCCATTGTCCCTACCCTGGACCCCTACCCCGTGCCCATACCCGCCACTCCCTATCCCCGCCCCAACCTCCCCTACCCGAAGCACAGCACAGGAAAAGAGGGGAGGGGGAGGGGCGGGGGGTACTGGGTGCTACTGTGATAGACGCTCCACCCGATGCTTTGTGTCTGTGCGCTTGTGCTCGTGCGTGCGATAGAGAGGGTGGGTAGGGGATGGGGGATAGAGAGAGGGAGAGCGAGAGAGCGAGAGCGAGAGAGAAAGAGAGAGAGCAACCTATACTAGTAAAAAGGACAAATGTCTCAAAAGGTGTTCAATATATTGACCATATTATTAGATAGATCAGGAATACACCAAAAGTAGATATATTAATGCAAGGGACAAGAGATAATCGTCACCATTTTTTTTTTCTTGCTTGCTCTTATCTTTATCTTTACTTTCTTTCATCATTTATTTATTTTTATTTTTAATTTTTATCATTATAAATTTTTTTACGTTTGAGTTCTGGCGGCGGCGATTCGGTAATGAGCGCACTGTTACCATGGCGAAAACATAACCCATTTTGCGCCGCATGCAGTGTTACCACGCGAGGTTATACAGTACATTGTACCCCCGACCCCCTCCCGTCCCCCACCCCCACTCCCTTTGCAGTGTTTGTGCGAAGGTGTTTTCCCTCTCTTCTTCCTTCTATACCCTTTCTCTCTTCTTTCTTTCTTTTAAATCTCCTCTCTTTTCTTTCCTTTTTTCTCCTCTACCTTTCGTTTGTTTTCTAGCTTTCCTATTCTCTCTCACCTTCCCTCTCTCTCTCTCCTCCTTCCCTTTGTCTTCCACCTCCTCTCTCTCTTCTCTCTCTCTCTCTCTCTCTCTCTCTCTCTTCTCTCTTCTCTCTCTCTCTCTCTCTCTCTCTCTCTCTCTCTCTCTCTCTCTCTCTTCTCTTCCCTCTCTCTCCCACTCTTTCCCTTTCTCTTCCCTCTCTCTCTCTCTCTCGCTCTCTCTCTCTCTCTCTCTCTCTCTCTCTCTCTCTCTCTCTCTCTCTCTCTCTCTCTCTCTCTCTCTTCCTCTCTCTCTCTCTCTTCTCTCCTCTCTCTCTCTCTCTCTCTCTCTCTCTCCTCCCCCACCTTCCCCCCCTCTCTCTCTCTCTCCCCCACCTTCCTTCCCTCCCTCTCTCTCCCCCCACCTTCCTTCTCTCTCTCTTTCCCACCCACTCTACTTCCCCTTCTGCCTATATTAAACCATGTGTATCGTGATGGTATTTTTCCCCCTCACCTGAGCAATGACACTCCTCTCGGGAATGCAATTGAAGTAGCGAGATCAATTGTAGGCTTCACTCTGCTACAGAGAATTGGGCCT